TATTTGTATACTCCACATCTTATTTTTTCAGCCAGAAAGTAGTTTGTTAGCTATCAGAACCTGAAAGAATTTTAAGGGAAGTGTTTTAAAAGGCAAGATCCCCTTTGCAAGATTCCCTTTATTATCATAACTGCATTTGGGGAACCACAGATGGTTCCAATCAAGATATGAACACCTTACCATATGTACTCGCTTATAAGTCCAACTGCAAACTGCACAGACCTAGATCTTTTATCAAATAATGCAATGGCAGATCTGGGTGTGCATAGTTTGTCAGGAGTAATCAGTAGAGCAAACAATGTAGACCCTGTCCTGCAGGTGCATTATGCTACAGTAGGTCACAATCTTTGTTGTTTGCAGTTTAACTAAACTTATAAGCAAGTATAGATGGTAGCTATGGATAACCTTTTATTCCATGTGGGTAAACACACTCCCTCAATCACTACAGTCTACATTTACATTCTTCCACTAAGTTTTACTATTTTCATTATTTTAAGCTGAAATTCATTCTTTTGACATAGATGACAGTTATAAATGTTTAATGTTAAGTAATAATAACAGCAGAAAGTTGTTTTGGAATTTTTCCCCATTGGGTGCCTCATCAGTATCATCTGCTTAACTTATCAGAGAAAGAAGTTGGGAGCAGCAGTGAAAAGTGCATTGTGGAATGTTTGTAAACTGTGAGGATTCTAATAAGGACTATAGTACAGGACTTTTTCTTGGTCTTTACCATAGCTTGCAGGACTGCTATGCTGTGATTATGTAATTGAGAAGCTTTTGATGACAGCAGGTAAAGATCCTTGGCAAGGTAGTAACTTTTTTTTTGTTGCTATGATATAGACTGTAAACTTATTTAGAACCAGAAAACACAGTAAACAAAATTCATGTGCATGCCAATAGATCCAGTTTCTTACTGTCGGCTGTTGAAGATAAGTTAGAGAATGCTTAATAAGAACAGTTATGCAAGATTATTTTGGATGTTTATGTAACTTCCTTAATGGCATTATGCACCATAAACTGTTTTCAGTATCATCCATAGTTTAGCACTAATTAACCCTATCTGTCAGTAAGACACATGTTTCAAAGTAGAAACAATTTCATTGCAACTGGACAATATCTGCATAATAAGATAGTGATACACAAAAAACAGCTATCAGGAATTTAACCTAGTTTTTTTTGTTTCAGTCAGATGGAAATAAAGGTTTTTGGCCTTTCAGCCTTACCATTAATACTCACTTCTAAGACAAGGTCCAACTGCAAACTGCACAGACCCAGATCTGCCATTACATAATGCACCAACAAATCTAGGTCTGTGCAGTTTGTTAGAAGTTATCAATAGAAAAAACAAGATAGACCTTGATCGGCAGGCATATTATACTTCAGCAGATCAGTATATTTTGTTGTTTGCAATTTGACTTGACTTATAAGCAAGTATATATGGTATGTTATGTGTACCTATCTTACCTTCTGCTATATATCCATTCTTTATACAGCTGAAATGAAATATGCTATACACTATCAAGTTATGTTGCATGATTTAGTAGTAATCATTCCACAGAATTTGTACCATTTTCATGCTGCATCAGGTTTTAGAAAATCACAAAGAATTTTTATTAAATTGTCTCAGTAATTGTTTTTACATCTTTTTTGTACATGAATGGCAACATTCTTATGCAATGTTTGCATTACCTATAAGCAAACTGCTAACATTATAAGTGTGGTGCACAAATGGCAGCATTCTTATGCAATGTTTGCACTACCTATAAGCAAACTGCTAACATTATTAGTGTGGTGAATTTTTGGAATTCTGTAAACTTTGATATAATAAAATATTTCTATTTGCAGAAATTTCTTTTTTTAGTGCAGCAAGCTTCAAGTTTTTATCTGATGGTTTTAGTCATCATGTGACAGTGAACACTTCAGATTTTCTTCTCAACATCCTGAGGGATTTTAAGCTAAAACAGGATTATTAGATGTGAAATTCGATCCACATGAGCAAGGTACAGTATGTATGTTGGTTCATAATGACAGGCAAAAGCATATAGAAGACAGAGATAGGCAACTGGCTGAGAAATCAATGACTATTTTTACATCACCTGGCAGTGTGTGATTAATTGATAGCATAAAATAAGTGAGTCTGACATAAGAACACCCATTTTCATATTGCACCATGAAATAAAGTTTAATCATGTTATTTTATGGGACATATCATTGATCATTGAATTTCGACAGGTAAATTAAAATTTGATCACATTATTTTATGGGACATATCATTGATATTTGGCAGGGAAATCAAAGTTTAATCATTTTTATGGGATATATCATTCATATTTACCAAGGAAATTGATATTTGTCAGGGAAATTAAAGTTTAATCATATTCTTTTGTAGGTTGTTGATATTTAGTACAGAAATTAAAACTGTATTATCATTTTGTCAGAAAAGGTGATTATGCAAGTAATAAGTCCAATGGGTGGGTGTGACAGTGATATTCACAATCGGGTTGTGCTGTGTTGCCAGTAGACTATATCATTCCATGCATGAAGTAAATTGATTATATCAGTTATTATTTGAAAGGGAAAATTATATTTGCATAGCCTGCATAAAATTCTCATTTAAAATTTAAGGGCAACATTTAGTATGATCTAAAGAGAACAAATTGCTATCTTTGATATTACCCAAATCTCTTTACCGATATGACACTTGAATATATGTCATTTGTTTTATTTAATCCTATTTATTTTATCCTATTTTTGTATGAATTAATGTAATGTTTCTATAAATTAAAAGCCAAATAAATTTTGAGGTCAACTACAGAACATTTTTAAAGATCAAATTTTAGAAATATGGACAGTGTATGCAGGGTCAGACGCTATTTTTACAATAACTTTATTACTGCTTCTACTGTCTCATAATTTTACAGATGCATCCATGTCTTCATTCATTCCTCAAGTTTGATTAATTTTTTTATGAGCTTCACAAATTTTCATCAGTTTTTCTAGAGTCTTATTTATTATTGAATGATAAAACATGCATAAAAATTTGATATACACAATTATTGAAAACTTTATTAATCCCATGTACAGTATTATTTTTTATTCCTTTCAGATGTTTAATTTATTTAAGGATTGGCTTAATTACCTTTAGATAAAGCATTTTTTTTTACTGCCATCTTTGTTTTGGCAGAACAGTACCAAGAAATTTTTACAGGTGCAGTATAGAATTCCATTACAACTCTCTCTCTCTCTCTCTCTCTCTCTCTCTCTCTCTCTCTCTCTCTCTCTCTCTCTCTCTCTCTCTCTCTCTCTCTCTCTCTCTCTCTCTCTCTCTCTCTCTCTCTCTCTCTCTCTCTCTCTCTCTCTCTCTCTCTCTCTCTCTCTCTCTCTCTCTCTCTCTCTCTCTCTCTCTCTCTCTCTCTCTCTCTCTCTCTCTCTCTCTCTCTCTCTCTCTCTCTCTCTCTCTCTCTCTCTCTCTCTCTCTCTCTCTCTCTCTCTCTCTCTCTCTCTCTCTCTCTCTCTCTCTCTCTCTCTCTCTCTCTCTCTCTCTCTCTCTCTCTCTCTCTCTCTCTCTCTCTCTCTCTCTCTCTCTCTCTCTCTCTCTCTCTCTCTCTCTCTCTCTCTCTCTCTCTCTCTCTCTCTCTCTCTCTCTCTCTCTCCTCTCTCTCTCTCTCTCTCTCTCTCTCTCTCTCTCTCTCTCTCTCTCTCTCTCTCTCTCTCTCTCTCTCTCTCTCTCTCTCTCTCTCTCTCTCTCTCTCTCTCTCTCTCTCTCTCTCTCTCTCTCTCTCTCTCTCTCTCTCTCTCTCTCTCTCTCTCTCTCTCTCTCTCTCTCTCTCTCTCTCTCTCTCTCTCTCTCTCTCTCTCTCTCTCTCTCTCTCTCTCTCTCTCTCTCTCTCTCTCTCTCTCTCTCTCTCTCTCTCTCTCTCTCTCTCTCTCTCTCTCTCTCTCTCTCTCTCTCTCTCTCTCTCTCTCTCTCTCTCTCTCTCTCTCTCTCTCTCTCTCTCTCTCTCTCTCTCTCTCTCTCTCTCTCTCTCTCTCTCTCTCTCTCTCTCTCTCTCTCTCTCTCTCTCTCTCTCTCCATGGTAGTTGTTCCCAGTTGTTGTTGGTTATAGGTTTACAATGATCTTCATCATCAATCTGCTCATCCAAAATTTCAATTTTTTATCACTCTGATAAAGTGCTGATGATGTTTAAGTTATTGGACAAGTTATAAACCAAAATTTGACAACCATTTCAATACATCACACCAGTAGCAATCTGGAATTTGCTTTGCCAGCTGTCTTGACAGTGACTGCAAATGTACAGACATATACCTTTAGGCTCTCCTTGTCAAAACACTCATTTATGTATAAAAAGGCAGCCTGATTGTAAATCTTTCTAATGTAGACTTCTCTGCCATAATACTGTTTAGGGGAAACTTGGGGTATAATCAACCAGAATTATGGAATTAATATCTAAATAAATTTTACACTTCTGGTATTATTGTTCTTTCTGTTCAGTGTTTACATTTGTCAACATGTTTTCTCATGTAAAAATGCACCCTTATCTGACTTATTTTATTATTCCTGATTTGCTTATTGTTCATTACACATTGTACTATGATTTTCATATTTTTATGTATTGACAGTAGACAATGGGAAGAGGTGGACGTGGATCTAGTACTGACTTTACCGAGGTGAGGTACCAGCCAGCTGGAATATACGGCTGGCGAAAACGCTGCCTTTACATCTGGATCCTCTTTATTCTGCTTGTGGTCATCATGAACCTTGCACTAACCATCTGGATTCTCAGGGTCTTCAATTTTTCTATAGTAAGTGAAGTTGCTCATTAAAATTTGGCCTTTTGAAACAGACTGCTATTAATTTTTCTAAATTAAAAATTTCCAAGATTTTCTGCATCTTACATTTATTTAGCATATTTGACATTTAGCACTTAACCAAAGATGTAGATAATTTTGTAAATTGCATTGTTGCTTTAGTTGTTTTTGTTTTTAAACCTCTAATCTTTAAGTGGCCTAAATGGTTAGAGTGTCTGCCTTGGATGCAGGAGGTTGCAGGTTCAAACCCCATCTGTTCATACCAAAGACTTCTTAAAAAAAGCTTCTAAAGTTGTCTCACTGGGCACTCAACATTAAGGGATTAATGATAAGACTGGTTGGCCTGATGTCACAATAATTTGACTGGATGGGACATGGTACTGCATGTCTGCAGCATGATACCAGAATGCTAGACATCACTATAAACTGCCACACTGCAGACATTGTAGTGATATGACTGAAAAATTATTAAAGCTATGTTAAAAATACAAATCACACACACACACACACACACACACACACACACACACACACACACACACACACCACACACACACACACACACACTGATCTTATATAACTCACAAGCAATCAGGTCCATAAACATCAACTGCTGCATCAATGAATGGGTGAGAGAGAAAGATTCAACGTTTGGTCATTGATGCATGATAATTATAATATCCATTGTCCTAAATAAATATTATTGTAACTGATTTTAATATTAATGGATATCAGATCTTACAATGTCAAATGAAATGTGACACAAAGGTACGCAGAAATTACAACTGTAACCAGCAGAATCAAGCCTATAAAAATGTTTTAACTGGTTAAGTCCTTAAGATAGAAGTTTTAAATATTAAATATAGTATATATTCTTCATTGATAGCACATAGCAACAATTAATTATAACTCCATATTGTTTGTCTTAAAATAAATTCATTCAGCATGTGGCAATGGCAGTTCTGGAACATTACATACAAATAGAAAATTAAAATAAGTAAACAGAAAACCCCATAATGTGTGCATTTGATTAGAACTTGCAAGTTTGTTTTCAGATGTATCACAGCAGATTTTAATGAATAATCCACAGATTAGCCAAAAGTGAAAATCTTAGGGAATTGTCTGCAGTGTGTGATTACAAAAAACTTGGACTGATCCTACACTTGCATGTTACAATTATGTTATGACATTTCATTTATTTTAATTGACTGAAGAAAATTAATACATGTATATTAATTAGATGGTGTCGTCATGTGGAAGTACCACTACATTCTCAAATATTGTTATAATAAATAATGTGGAAGTTGATTCCATTCTCAACTATTGTCATAATAAATAATGTAGAAGTGTGATTACATTCTTAACTATTGTCATAATAAATCCAGATTTTTTGCTGAGCAATCATTAATAAGGTTCTTGCAGATTAGTCAGCCTGTTCTGGAAGGTTTATTGCCTAAAAGGGTTTCAAAGGGTCATGAAATCCAGTCATTTTATAAACATTTTATTACTTCCCTTGATAGACAATGAGAAACATTTTATTACTTCCCTTGATAGACAATGAGAAAATAGCCCAACCATCATTTTTAAAAAGAAAATCTGCAAATGAGTGCAAAAGAATATACATTTATCATGGTCAGCAGTTTAGCATTTCTGCACTTTATTAGCAGGCTTTAGTGGTCAGCGAATTGCTGAAATCTATAGACTGGTCAGCAGTTTAGCATGACCCTATATTTTGTTGCTTTCAGCCTACAAACAGTAAAAATGTTTTCAGCCTATCATGAATGCATTATGTTACCTTTAAGGTGGAACATTTTATCTTATCATACCACTTCATTGTGCATATCTAATAAGATGCATTTCATCAATGTCTTTTCCAGGAGGGTTTTCAGTTGGGGAAGATGAGAATGACAGAAAAAGGACTAGTTTTGGATGGAGATGCTGAAATAGTCAAAACCCTGTATACATCTAAAATATCGTCTAAAGGGGTGAGTGAATTTTATCCCTGGCTGGTGACATGTACACTTACAGTGAAAAAGGAATCATAAGTACCACTCAGTCAGGACATTTCTATTTAAACCTGCCAAAAATATTCGCAAATTTAAGAAGTCAAATTTTAACATTTTAAGCCCAATTGAAAAAACAATATTGCATCATATAGAAAAATGTATTGCAAATATGTCATCCTTTTTAGTGAAATCCCTGGCCATTTTGAAAATGTTATCATTACTCCTCCTGAATGAAAAGTTATAATCACAAGGTGTATTCACCAGAAAACTTATGATGTCTAGCTAGTCATAAATGAAAATAGTGCTGATCAAATGTCTAACATAACTGCCTCAATGACCAGCTTGAAATTTTGTTATCACTTCTTTTCCTGAATGAATATTCATATCAATATGGGAATTTCACTAAAAGACTTTAGAACATTTTGTTGGTTCTAAATTAAAAATGGCTCTGATCTGATGTTCAGTGTATGTGGCCATCTTGAAAATCTTGCTTTTGCAATTCTTTTTAAATGAGAAGTCATTTTAACATTAGGTTTTCATCAGTAGAGTTTTTATGGTTTCCATTTGTTCCTAAATAAAACTTACTAACCTCCAATATGGCAACTATTGTGGTTATCTACTCCTAACAAATGAATGGCTGTATCATGATGGAATTTTCACCTGTTGACTTTTTATAATGCCTAGTTGGTTCTCAATGAAAATGGTGCTAGTTGTATAGAAAATATGGCTGACATGATGAGTTTCTTGAAACTTTTGTAACACAAACTTATCAAACACTATACAGACCTTCTTGTACATGTATGTACCAATGGAGGGTTCTGCAGCAGATTGATTAGTAAATATATATTCACTGTGTTTTCACTATTTTTTGTCTATGAGATATCAATTAAAGTTGTTAACTGTATAGATTTGCACTCAAAAAATTCCTCTTTCAAAACCTCAGAACACCCACAACCATTCATTTTGTATAGCCTGGCAAATGCACTTACAACAATTCATCTTGTATAGCCTAGCAAATACACACACAACCATTCATCTTATATAGCCTGGCAGATAAACCCACAACCATTCATCTTGTATGGCCTAGCAAATACACACAAAACCATTCATCTTGTTTGGCCTAGAAAATACACACACAACCATTCATCTTGTATCGCCTAGGAAACACACACACAACCATTAATCTTGTATAGCATAGTAAATACACAACCATTCATCTTATATAGCCTGGCAGATAAACCCACAACCATTCATCTTGTATGTCCTAGCAAATACACACACAATATTCGTCTTTATCTGGCCTAGAAAATACACACACAACCATTCATCTTGTATTGCCTAGGAAACACACACACAACCATTCATCTTGTGTAGCATAGAAAATTCACACACAACCATTCATCTTGTTTAGCCCAGCAGATACACATACAACCATTCATCTTGTTTAGCCTGGCAGATACACACACAACCATTCATCTTGTATGGCCTGGCACATACACATACAACCATTTGTCTTGTATAGCCTAGCAAATACACACACAACCATTCATCTTGTATGGCCTGGCACATACACACACACAACCATTTTTCATGTAGCCTAGCAAACACACCCACAACCATTCATCTTGTTTAGCCCAGCAGATACACACACAACCATTTGTCTTGTATAGCCTAGCAAATACAAACACAACCATTCATCTTGTATGGCCTGGCACATACACACACAACCATTTTTCATGTAGCCTAGCAAACAAACACACAACCATTTATTTTGTATAGTCTAGCAAATACACTCACAACCATTCATCTTGTAAAGCCTAGCAAATACACTCACAACCATTCAGCTTGTATAGATTGTATAGCCTGGCAAATACAACCACAACCTCAACCATTCATCTTGTAATTCCTAGCAAATACACCCACAACCATTCATCTTGTAATTCCTAGCAAATACGCCCACAACCATTCATCTTATATAGCCTGGCAGATACACACACAACTATTTTTCATATAGCCTAACAAATACACATACAACCATTCATCTTGTTTAGCCTGGCAGATACACACACAACCATTTATCTTATATAGTGTAGCAAATACACCCACAACCAATTTCATCTTGTATAGCTAGTAGATACACACACAACCATTCATCTTGTATAGCCTAGCAGATAAACCCACAAACATTCATCTTGTATAGCCTGGCAGATAAAAAAATCAAATTCTAACACACAACCATTTATCTTGTATGGTCTAGCAAATACACCCACAACCATTCATCTTGTATAGCCTGGCAGATACACATACCATTTTTAATATAGCCTAGCAAATACACACACAAACATTCAGCTTGTATACCTAGCAGATAAACCCACAAACATTCATCTTGTATAGCCTAGTAGATACACCCACAGCCATTCATCTTGTATGGCCTGGCAAATACACACACAGCCATTCATCTTGTATGGCCTGGCAAATACACACACAACCATTCATCTAGTATGGCCTGGCAAATACACACACAACCATTCATCTTGTATGGCCTGGCAAATACATGCACAACCATTCAGCTTGTATACCTAGCAGATAAACCCACAAACATTCATCTTGTATAGCCTAGTAGATACACCCACAGCCATTCATCTTGTATGGCCTGGCAAATACACTCACAGCCATTCATCTTGTATGGCCTGGCAAATACACACACAACCATTCATCTTGTATGGCCTGGCAAATACACACACAGCCATTCATCTTGTATGGCCTGGCAAATACACACACAACCATTCATCTAGTATGGCCTGGCAAATACACACACAACCATTCATCTTGTATGGCCTGGCAAATACACCCACAGCCATTCATCTTGTATGGCCTGGCAAATACACACACAACCATTCATCTTGTATGGCCTGGCAAATACACAATCAGCCATTCATCTTGTATGGCCTGGCAAATACACATACAACCATTCAGCTTGTATACCTAGCAGATAAACCCACAAACATTCATCTTGTATAGCCTAGTAGATACACCCACAGCCATTCATCTTGTATGGCCTGGCAAATACACACACAGCCATTCATCTTGTATGGCCTGGCAAATACACACACAACCATTCATCTTGTATGGCCTGGCAAATACACACACAACCATTCATCTTGTATGGCCTGGCAAATACACACACAAACATTCATCTTGTATAGCCTAGTAGATACACCCACAGCCATTCATCTTGTATGGCCTGGCAAATAC